TGTGGTGTGTGAGGTATGAGAGGCCTCCCTCATCTATTTATAGCACTAGAATGGTTGGTTTGGGTGTAGACAAATTAGAAAATCGCCTTGCCCCATCTTTGCATGCCGCCATGCAACCACTAGAGAAGAGAGAGGCCAAGCGGGCTTGGGGCCCCTGCTAGCTTGCCTCGCCATCGCCTTGCGCATGTGGGCTTCTAGTTGGTCCTAGGTCTTTGCTAGGGCAGTGCTTAGCCCGGTTGGATCGATTGGATGGGCCTTCTTCTATTTCCTTTGCGCGAAATCTGCATTACGCTTTGTTTGATGGCGCATTTTGACTATAATTCCTTTGTATTCAACTATGAGTCCTGCAAAATAGTAATTCTCCAATACAAGTGGAACAATATCAATAGTAAAGGTATATGTGTGTAAAAACATGTAGTTTCCTCCTTTTTGGATCATAGTTGGCGGTTGGATTTTGTCGATAAGAACAGCCAATAGCCTAGCCGTCTAGGAGGCTTCACCTCCAAGTGTACAAAATGCGCAATGAAGATTGACAAAGCCCAACAAGTGCTCAAGGTTTTTTTTGCTCTCTTTTGCTCTCTAACTCTTAATCACACACTAATCACTCACTCTCACAAAGAGAGGGGTTAGAGAGAGCTCAAACAAGGCTTGGGAAGGGTTTGGAGCCGTGGGATGGGCATATATACACCCAATCTCAAAATTGGCCATTGCAGTTCAAAAACTAGCGATTATGACCTATACAGGTGTCGCACTATTGCCCGCGGCACCGCTACGAAAATTCGTGACACTGCCGCAGCTCTGAAAAACAGCACAGGTCACCTCACAAAAAACACCATAACTTTCTACTCCGAACTCTATTTTCAGTGACCTTGGACTTTTCGAAAAGCTTGTTTCGATGGCTATCCAGCCCAGCCAAGAACAGGCCCCAAGATCAATAAGTGCAAGTGTTGTGATAATGTGTTTCTCTCATGTTAGCACTTGGGTTCGGTTAGTTTGAGCACTTGAGACTTGTCTATGATTCGTATTGCATCCCCCTTGACAGTATGGCATACCTATACTCAAGATCAAGATAATATAACCATTTCAACCACTTGAATCTTCAATGTCTTCATATGCTATTTCTTCTTAATATCACTTCATAAGGGGTTGCAAACAACTTTGTCTCCTCTCTTTGAGCAAACAAACCTTGAGCATGTGACTCGAACCATTTCAACACATGTGAGTTCAATCCATGGCTTCAAGTCACTTCCACTAATGATTTGATCCTCAACATAATATGACTCCACATAGCTCGATTAGTTCCTCGATTTAATGCAAGTACTCTCTTCTTCACCTTAGCCATGGTGCCTCGGTTGCCCTTCACCTTGGCTTAGTCCCTCGAAGCCTTTTTCTTACTATCTTCACCCTATCGAGTCATCCTCAAGTCACATCATATTAAGCATCATTGAAAAACTATTTCTTCAATATTGTGATCCATGCTTGAATATCTTCTAGATATGAATGTTGAGATCAATCAAGCTTCAGTTGAATTCACATAGATTGAGATATACGAATCAACATCAATATGGTCAAGCCAATTCATGATTCCTTATATCCTCTTCATTTTGGCTTGACACTCCTAACACTCACTTTAATATCTATCTTCATACTTCTAGCTTGACCAAATCAATGCAAAGTGATTTTCAAATCTCTATCCATACAAGCAAACTAACATAGAGACTGACTTATATCCAATATGAGTCGTGTCCTTTATCATTTAACATTTGCTTGATATTTCTTCACTTATGCATTCTTAACTCATTCTTCAATCCTTGATCAAAGCTAATCCACTATCAAACTCTTCTCGTTCATGCAAAGCAAGCCATTATTGAGACCAATCCAAAATCATCAACTTATGTCTCATTTATACCATTTGCTAAATATGTTTGCTTTCTCATGATACTATGATATCCCACAATATAGAAGCCATTTCATCAACTCCATTTACATTGTTGTCTTTTTCTTGAACTATATTGTTTCCATGATCTTCCAACGCAATAATACACAATTTTGGCCTTGATTTGAACATTATGTAGAATATCATCAAGTTTGCCATCTTGTTGAACCTATATACACGTCTCATTCCACAATCCATCAGTGTATGCAATAAACTCAATTTCCTGTTCAACACTTAGCAAACTTGTTAGACCTTTAATGGTGTTGTCATTCAATTCACCAAAACCCACTAAAGGGCGGGCTAGATGTACTTACACTAAGATGGCATAAACATCTTCTTAATTTAACTAAACTTTTTTACGATCAAATCAGGACAATATCAAGCTTATAAAATTCATAACTAGAGATATATGCATCCAAAAAAATATGTTCTATAACTATATGGAGAGCTTAAGAAAAACCCTACAAGGTTTGTGTAGATCAAAAGTTCAAATTATTCAATTAAGATGGCCAAAAACTAAATAGATCGAGAAGTGTCTAGATTCTCATTATTGAAAAACAACCTTCTTAAAACCATCATATCTCCTAAATTACTGAGGCTATGAGGCTTATTTTGGTGTCAAAAGAAAGAAACTAAAGTCCTCTACAACTTTGTCCAAAGTGAAAAATTTTATTACGGCGGTTAAGATGCCCTAAAACGACGATGAACAGAAACTGCACAGCCTGACGGGATTTTGGACGAGATTAATTTCAGGAATTACTCCCATTAAACCCTTTCTAATTAGATGATTCAATCCACAAAACTTGATCGAAAGAACTGGATTATAATCTGGCATCTCACCTAGGACAACCACAGCGAGCACGCTGACAAGCCCTAGCGATCCACTTCTCGCTTCCTTCCTTCCTCTTCTCCACCACCTCACGGTGATCCTCGCCGCTATGACAGGGTCACCATTCTGATCTACTCGCATGTGGTACATCAAACATGAACAGCGAGGGAACAAGAAATTGAGGACAAAAATATGAAGAGAATATGATGCCTAACCGATTTTCTAAAAAAGAACGGCACCGCACATGATAACGATGACAAACCCTAACTTCTCTCGTTTCTCTTCTCCCATCTCCAATTTCTTTCTCCCTTGCGTACATGATGTGGAAGGGACAGTGGCTTGGTGAACGGTGGGTACCAGGGTTTTTTTTTTTTTTGAAACTTTGGGTACCAGGTTTAGATTGTGGAAGGATACGAAAAAAACAGAAAAGGAGTAGAACTCTCGTCCAGTAAAAAGAAAAAAAAACACACGACGACGGTCTCTGAAACTAACTAGGAGCTGGTCACGCGACAGGAAAAAACGAATAGGCACTGTACCTGATGGTTAGCGCTATATATTTACGATGCGTAATAAGTATTATTAAATTAATTATTGCATATATTTTTAAAATATATTTATTTGGAAATACAAATATTACTATTTTTTCTATAAATTTAGTCAAACTTAAGAAAATTTGTCTAGCACGAAAATCTAAGTGACACTTAAAAAGTGACAGTGAGAGAAGGTTTGTTAATTTTCTTGATGAAAGCAGTTACATGGTGGATAAACAGAGCCATTATTCTGTTTATCTTGTGGAGTGAGAAACCACCACAATTATACACTTGGTAAATGACTGACACCGACAGAGCCCACCTCCAAACTCTGCGAGCACTTGCGTACTGTACGTACATTTGAACATGGACTACACCATGCCTGTACTGCACGATATGCTATGTGTGTACATGTCCAAGCAGCAGGGCCCATGCAGCCATGCTGATTGGTGTCCAAGACCCCAAGTTCTTCACATGTTTTGTGTACGATAAAAAAAAACTAAAGCAGACAGCAGCAACTGCAGGACAGGCAACAAAGTAGGGTGTGCCAGCGATCACAATCAGCTGGTAGTACGTTGGACCGGACGACGCGCTCCCTCGCTCACGGTCACGGGTGACAAAGCGCCAAATGACACATGCCTGCCCCGCGCGTCACTTTTGCACCTATCGTGGCGTGCTGCCGGTCGGCTCGGCTGCATTATGCAGAGGCACTCGCTCGTCGTCGTCAAACTATTCTCTAGGGTTTCGCGGCCGTGCGTACGTACGCGAGCTTAGCTAGATCCCCACGCATATATTCAATTATTCGTGCATGTGAATGAGAGATCTCTCGGGCCAAGGGCCCCGGCCGGCGCAGCCAACAACTCTGCGTGGCTGTGCAGTGCAGTAGTGCAGTGTCGTCTACTATCTCGTATCCATCCAAATTTCCAATTACAAATGTCAGATACTCAGATTCATATACACGACAACAAATCTCAGCAATGTATCAGTCACCACCACCTCTTAAGTACTTTTTATTCATGTATGTATATAGTCTACTCGCTCGTACGAACCTGTCATATATATATACTCACGCGTGATCTTAGTCCCATGGACTTGAGAAATTTAATCAAATATCTAGTTTTATTTAAGATGGACAGGCATAAATTAAACCACGCAGATAAAAACAAGTGAACCAATTACCGAAGACGACATGCATGCATTGCATGCAAAACAACAATAACGTTTCCATCATGATCGAGTTCATGGCAAATAACAGGGAATTATTAACAATCAACCATCACCCCTCTTGCATCAAATCAAGCTTAACCAAATCAAGCTGCGAATCGAGAGACCAAACTGAAAACACATAGAAAGCAGAAACCACAACAGACACAAACAATAAACACGCATGGAAAATGATCGATCCATCGTTAGCTGATCGACCTGGTCTTCTTCCTCCTCTGGCGCCTTCTTCAGCTAGGAACGAAGCAGAGACGACATCCTCTCATGTCGATCTCTCTTCAAACTACCGAACAAAGAATGCTAGCTCACTCCAAAACCCCTGCATTTTCACGTAGAGACAGAGTCATCAGAGTCAGGCTAGCAGCATGCATATGCCACATGCAAATGGCTACTAGTACTTGCAGATCGAGATGCATATATGCATAGCTAGTCACGTACATGTTCATGGATGCATCATAGCATGGGGGCTGCTAGGTAATCGAGATCAGACGGTGCAGGTGTAGCCCGGCGGCGGCGTCTTGCCGCAGGTGAGGAGGAGCTGGAGCGCCAGGGGCAGGTAGAGGTTGATGTTGAGGAGCTTCAGCTTGATGGTGGTGCACAAGCACACGGCCGCCTCCAGCTCCACCAGCCCCTCCAGCACCGGGCAGCACTTGTTCACCACGGGGTCGCCCAGGCCGATGTGCACCAGCCCGCCCAGCAGGTCCACGCACGCGCCCAGCTTCAGCGAGTCCGCCGGGCACGTCGACGACGATGGCGTCGGCGTCGGGGTCGATGGCGGTGGCGGAGGGCACGGCGTCGAGCTGCCCCCGCCTCCGCCGGGCGGGTAGGTCACTGGTGGACCGGTGACTGGAGGCGTCGTCGAGGGCGGGCCGGTGCTCGGAGGCGTCGTCGACGGAGGGCCGGTGATCGGCGGGTAGGTCACCGGTGGGCCGACGACCGGCGGCGTCGTCGGAGGGCCGGTAATCGGTGGGTAGGTCACCGGTGGGCCGACGACCGGCGGCGTCGTCGGAGGGCCGGTAATCGGCGGGTAGGTCACCGGTGGTCCCACGACCGGCGGACGAGTGACCGGTGGGCCGATGATCGGCGGGTAGGTCACTGGTGGTCCGACGACCGGCGGACGCGTGACCGGCGGGCGCGTGACGGGTGGGCCTACGACAGGCGGACGCGTGACCGGTGGGCCGATGATCGGCGGGTAGGTCACTGGTGGTCCGACGACCGGCGGACGCGTGACCGGCGGGCGCGTGACGGGTGGGCCTACGACCGGCGGACGCGTGACGGGGCCCTTGGGCGGGCCGACGACGGGCGGACGCGTGACCGGCGGGTAGGAGGGACTCTTGGGCGGCTGGTGCCCCGGCGCCGGGTACGCGGGGCCCTTGGGTGGCTTGGGGTTCTTGGGCTTCGGCGACGGCGACGGGTGGGAGGGCTTGGTCTTGGGCGGGTGCGAGTGCGACGGCTTGGGCGCCTTGGGCTTGTCGCAGTCGCAATCTACCTCGTTGTCTGGCTCTGGCAGCGAGAGGATGGGTGTCACGGCGGTGGAGAGCACCAGCAGCAGGGTGAGGAGGAACGGCCGGAGCTTCTTGCCGCTGGCCTCCATGGTGGCGGCGGCGGCTGCTAGCTGGTGTTACTAGAGGGCAGGATCGGAGTGTGCACTCTAGGGTTTCGAGGTAGTGCGGTTTTATAGAAAAGTGAGTTTGTAAGGGACGCCCGTGACCGAACTCTAGCTAGGGTATCGACTAGTAGGCAGAAGCTAGCCCAGAACTGGGTAGTGTTGCTAGTGATCTCTGACCTCAGACCACGGGATGTGTACAAGTGTGGGAGACGTAGTCAAGTGAATGTGATAATGTGATATGGAGTAAATTATAAATTTATAATTCATGTGATCACGTGAAAGTGTAGCCGTTAATAGTTGAGTGAAGTGAATAGACGGTGATAAAGACGATTATCACTGTCCACTTTCACTGCTAACCACAAAACCAGCGATGATAATATTTGCGTAGTAGTTATGCTAGTACTCCGCTATAAGAGCCATAATATCTGTCATCAAATCCATATCATATATCTCCTTTGCTCTCTTACACTACTAACCTTAACCCGCCCCCACTCCACAAAGCTTTGTGGCTACAGTTTGCTACCCTAATCCCGGCTATAGTTGTGTCCCATGTTCCCAATACCTCAGTGAGATGTTGTATCCTACCATAGGGAGCCCTTTCAGAGACCGCCACCACTACTTATATTCTCCGCATTACTCTCACTGCATTAGTTTTCCCCATAGGTGTTTCCTCCTCTCTTCTCTTTGTCATTGTGAGAATGCTCGCTCTACGCATCATCTTTGACAATGGCAACTTCAACTATACCAACAAATGCATGTGTGATGGTTGCTCCTTCTCTAACCACGACAACATCGATGCCCTCATTGGCCATCCAATACATCCCTGCCCAGCAGATGGCCTCCACCATTGTTGATGGCAAGTGGTGCCACCCCTCTTCAACCATTACCATTGCCAAGCTAGAGACTTCCACGACCATGCATCCATGAACCGGCCAAAGACAAAAAATAATTAAACCCCCTTAATAATCCTAAAACTCAGACCTTGTTTGGATGCAAAATATTTTTAGAATTTTGGAAATATATAGTGGTGTTATAAAATACTTTAGTTTGGAGTGCCATGAAGTGTTGTTAGGGTGCAAGAAGCTTTATAGTGTTTTAAAAACCAGCCAGAATTATAGCATTTTTGAGTTTCAAAAACTCCACCGCCTTAGGTGCAGGACCATCTATCAAAGACATCTAGTCGATGATGGTGAAACGGAGAAAAAAAACAATGAAAGCACAAGACTTTTAAATTCGGCCGCAATCGTTCACTTCGCTCCCACATACTATATGACTGAGCGGGGAACACTAGAAGTACATATATGTATGGTTAGAGATAACTGAGATGCATACAAAATCTAGAGATAGAATGTGATTAGGCCTACTGCAAAACTTGTCTTGTACTCCAAGTGTCTCGTTCATATATACTTATATACACCCTTTGAGGATCGAGATGCAAAATGAACAACAAATTATATATCATTGTTCTTATCATATTCGCCCTTTTTCACATATATACACGGCTATCTAATCGTGCCTGTCCCGTGCCTAACCTTGACGTACGTGTCACACGCCGTATACGTGCCGCTCATCCAGGTTGGCGACGAATGGATGGATCTTTGCTGCTATCTTCGCGTGGTACGTGCACGCACACGGTGCATGCCCCCGAATCCTACTAGCTACCATCAACCTTTGCCGTACCCATCTGACAGAATGCCAGTTTAATTTGCCACCACATATGCTGGCAGGGGCATGCTGCGCACGCCCGTACGAACCAAAACTCGTGGTTGGTGGGAGATTGGGCCACGGACCACGGTACATGTGCCATGCCATGCCATGCCCTTCTAGACCACCACCACGCACTGACCGGTCGCCGCAGCGTCGTCGGCGCGCGCGCGAGACACCCCGCGGCGCGGCGCACGTAACCCGGCCGGCCGGCCAGACACACCAGGCGGGACCCTCGATGGTACGTCGTCACGACCAGCAGCGCGCGTGAGATGACTGACAGTCTAACACCGCCAGTTCCGCGGCGACCACCGTGCATTGCGCTTGCGCCACCGGCCACCGCGGTGTAGTGTACCCCAGCCGCAGCGCGGCCGGCCGGGTAGTAGCAGTAGCATCAGCTCGCCCGCATCCGGCTGCGTGCGTGTGCGTCCGTGAGCTGTGGGCCGGGGCCGGGCGCGCGTACACTGTACGTGGCCTTATGCGGCTCGTGAACCCGGGCGGCGGCCATGCAGCTGGCGAAGGCCACACCGTACCCTACCTATCCTCTTCCGGTCGATCATGTATCGTGCGAATGCCTGGCTGCTAGCTGGCAGCTGGCGTGCCCGGTACGGTGCTATCTTTTTTCCCTCCTCGGCTCCTCCTCTATCTAGTCTTGCCTGGCCTCGCCTTGTTCATTCCGGCTGCTGCATGCATGCAGCAGGCCCGTCTCTCGCGCTAGTCTGTGGGCCGGCGTCCGATTGGACGTACGAGTGGTTTTGCTTAGGTCTCCATCGCAATAATTTGCAGTGTGCAACATCGAGTTTTTACTTAGAGTCGGACCCGGAGGAGCTGCGCGTGCGTATACTCTACTAAGAATTACTCCACACATCCCATATTATAACACGTTTTGAATTTTCTAGATACATAAATTTTACAATACACTTAGATATACGTTATATATGTCTAGATATATATTGCATAATAAAAATATTGTAGTTAAAAAAATCAAATCGTCTTATAATTTAGAACAGGAGTACAATGCAGGCGTATAAATCTATATATACAAAGTTGCAAACCTAGCAGCTAGCTAGTAGCGGTACTCTATCCGTTCAAAACAAATCAACTTTTGTGTTAATTCTAAGTTAAAACTTTCTTAGCTTTTAACCAACTTTATAGAGAATACAAAACAAAATAGGCACAATACACTTTAAAATATATTTCATGGTATATCTAGCAGTAATTAATTAGGTGTTATTATATATAACAACTAGTTTTCTTTTTTACTATTAATTAGGCCAAACGTACTTGAGATAGTTTTATATATTTACAGCAACTTTAAAAATTGATTCGCATTTCGTGATGGGTCGGAGAGAGCATATTATACATGATAAAATTAAAAAGAAACAATAATGTTATAGGTACGGTGAAACTTCATGTGCGGCTTATTCTATTTGGTTGTAGCTAACGTACACCATGGATGCGTGCAGCACCGATCTGCATCTCCCATTGGCCATTGCATCGGATAACGTCTATAAAGACATATTTTAATCGCTAATATAAAATAAGCGACTGTAGATTACGATTCCCATAAAAATAACCGCTGTCCCTGCCAAGCTTCATACATGTTTAATTTGGCAACATGAGACGCACTACTGGAATCTCGCTTTTTCTGTGCGTGCGAAAATACACAGAAAAATGTGAATACCGTCAGAAAAATATTTTTCCGATGGTGTACCCTCAGAAAAATACCCACAGAAATATAACGACAGAAAAATTCAATTGTTCTGTGTGTTCGTCGTCAGAAATAATTTTTCTGTGGGTGTTACACGCATACGTAAAAATTATGTTAGCCTGCATTAAATTAACATATTGTGTGCGTTAATCCTCACGAAAAAAAAAAGAATAGCCCGACAGAAAAATGATTTTTACGTGGGTGTTACACGATATGAGAAAAATGATTTTTCTGCGGGTATTACACGCACAGAAAAATTACCTTAGCCCAGATTAAATTTAAATGTTGTTCATTAATCCCCACGTAAAAAAAGGAAAAGCCCGACGTAAAATTATGTAGAGGCACTCATAGGAAATTTTTATTTTTTACTGGCGGTCTCGCTTAACGCACGTAAAAATAACCGATCACCGACGGAAAAAAACCTTAACCATACAAAGAAATTGAATACAATAATTATATAGAAACGAATAAAGAGCAACCACATATTAAATATGGACTCACCATACTTTAATTTCATCACAACATAATAGATAGCATACATATAAAGATCCAAATGTTCAAAGACATTTATTAATGCACCCTAGAAATGTTTTGTACAACTTGAAATGTTCAAAACCCTCCCGGTATCTCCTTAAAATAACATGGAATCACATTCACAACCGCTTCTTAGCCACTTTTCTTACTCTCTAGGTAAGGGTAAGCTCTCGACATCTGTAATATAGCCCAAACAAGGTGCATGAAAGAGAACTCGGCCACAGAGGATCTGGATTCTGTAAGTGACTAAACGTTGTTTGCCACAAGAGGAAATTGCTCGGTCGAGTCTCGCTGAAGTTCGGATGACGATATCGGGATCCAGGCAGCGATTACTATACATGTGGCGATCCAAATCCCCATGAAATCTCTGAATGCACACCGTTATTTACAACGTGGCCCATTACGATCGCCAAATGTTTCACTCTGCAATGCTTCCTTCCTTTACGCAGACAGACTTCATCGACAAACATTGACAATCTCGTAAGTCGAGTTGTATGGCATGCGATGAAAAAAGACCACCAATTTCACATGTTTCCAAAATGTTTCGCCATCGCCTTCACGAGCCGCCAACCTCACCGGCTCACATAACAAGTCCAAGTTGCCCCAAAAGTTGATCTTACAGTTAATCTTGTTGATTACACTTTGGTTCTCTAATAGTTCATTGATTTTTTCCTCCATTAATCGCATCAAGGTTTCCACCTCACTTGGGTCCCTTTTAAAATTGTCAATGCTTTGAATGCGTAAAAACAGTAATGTACTTCACACCCATTTCATAGCAGTACAGCAGGCTTGAAAGGCTTCTCTGCCTTCAGATCCTAGACCAAAAGAACACCATTTGTAGGAAATTCAAGGCTTGAAAGAACACCATTTGTAACCATCTCATCAGCTTCTCCGCCTTCAGATCCTAGAGCAAAAGCAAATAAATAACAACTAAGCAGAATCTTACATGTTGTAAGAATATTTGTCCATGTCGACATGGCAAAAGGTTATAGCTCTTTGAGGATTTTTACAAGCCTAATAACTGATATCTAAATGCTTTATCAAGAAATTAATCAACATATGTCATTTGCAAATATGAAACTCACCACGAAAGGTGAGGGAGAGATAATTGACCCCCCTTGATGAGGGACTATGCAACCAATTACCAAAGTCGCAAAGGCAAGAGAACAACTTATCTTCAGTGTTCACACAAAAAGTTTGCATGCAAATTGTTGGGCCTTTGAAAACACAATTTGATAGCAAAAAAGTTGGATCACTAAATACAAAAGAAAAGAACTTACTTTGGTGCCATTAGGAATTAGGCTGCTTTAGCGTGCTTTTAGTCTTTCATTGATCCTCTCTCTCTCTCTCTTATAGTATGACTAAGCCATCGAAAAACAAAAACTGCAGATTCAATGATCATTGTGAAATTAGCATTAAGTATTTCGACCTTTTACTGCTGCTCCGAACATGGATCGCAGTGAGCAATCATCTCAGATTCCTCGCTCCAAATAGAACTAATAATGCTATACCAGATATCATGAGAACACAAGATTACTATGACACAATTAAGCAATGAGGTATATAGACATATATAGCAACTGGATCATGCAGACATTAAATAAGAAGCAACATCCACATCATTTGCCTAATTGCATATATTCAATCTGAATTATGCACCCAAGCCAAAGACAGACTTGTATGGCATCAATACATTCAAAAGCATTTCCATCTCATCTCAACAGTTCAAGTCTCAATCAAGATGAGTAAAGTACCATCATGCATCATTGAGTCATATTATAGCTAAAACTAAAGCTAACAGATTAGAGCCACCTACTAGTTAATGTGCAAAAGCACAACTCTACAAAAGAAGAAACCACCATCACATCCATGTTTTGCAACTAAACACAACCATCACATTATCGATGCATGATCGCCATTGTTGTCGAAACTTGATTGTTGTCAACGTTTAAAGATGAAGATCCCCATTGGTGTGGCCAACATCACTACCATTGTTGGCGGATTCTCGAGGCAGACATGAGAAGACCCAGCCATTGCTGAATGTGAACAAAGTTACAGATAAGTGGAATTGTCTCCCAACAATATAACACTTTTAGCAAAGCCTCTAAATTAGACAAGGTTACAACAGTAAGTGGAATTGGACAAGGTTTAAAGTATTCAAACTGCTGGTTTTCAAGGTGTGAAATATTACAAACCAACATAAGGCCACTTCCTCACTACAATAGCCATGCAAATTCACTGCAGTAGCTATACAACAATCAACATGAGGCCACTTCCTCACTGCTGCACTGTGTGTTGACATTCTGAATAGTACCCCACAAAATACTAATCGGTTTCTACTTCCTTTCCATACTAAAATCTCTAAGTGATGGATATGACAGCTACAAAACATGTTGATAGTGGAATGAAGATATACTCACAACTGCTTGCATAGCGGACAAGTGTCGTAACGCTTCTTCTGGTACAACCCTTCCTGTCTCCTGATAAAGGTTCTACAAGCGTATTGCAAGCATAGATATTTCAGATTTAAATCATTAGATAATTCAAATATAATATTGGTGAATTATTTACAAGAGCATTGCACATACCAGTACCAAGCCTACAAGGACTTTGTTTTGCTGCAGTGCGTTGTCCTTTTCACGATTCTCTCGTTCCAGCCTTCCATTTGCACGACGTAGCTCTTCCATTTCTCGAGACATGTTTTGCATAGTCACTGAATTTGATGGACGCACACTTATTTCCCTTCCGGCTGCCCTGACATCTGAAGACTTAACCGCACCATTTGCTATGGCAAGACGCCCATGCTTTCTCGGGGCACCACTAGACACATCATATAGCGCCTTTTCATTCAAATATTGTTGTTGCTCAACCTCATGCCCATCCACTTCCATGTCTGCACCGTCTCTATCCTCTTCGTTTGCACATTCTATCCTCTTAACAAAGAACAAGGTAGTCATCCTACAAAGACCGAACAAGGAAACATGTTCTAGCAACATGGCAGCGAAATGCTCAAGTTGCGTGAATGGATCCAGAGACCATTATGATGACAACATGCATCTTCCTCTCCCACACAGACTGTGATATGTATATATGCTTATATGTAGAGAGAGAGAGAGAGAGAGAGAGAGAGAGAGAGGTCATTTGTTGTGCTTCTGCAAGCGGGCATTCCACGGCAAAAATAAAAGCACTACACATTGTGGTGCATGATTGCTATGGTGCATGACCTATCACAATTGGATTGATACTTGCATACCTTAATAATAGTAATACTTAATAATATAGCTTTACCTTACGCTTATATTATCATCGACCGTGTCATGCCATAAATATATTTGACATGACCATCTACATATATATGAGCCTATCAGCTAGCTTATATTCAATTGTTTGGGATGAATGTGACACTCGATTTAAAGAATGTCAGATACAAATCTAAGGGCCAATAGATCCTAGTGGAACCAGAGCCAGCAGCATCAAGTCACAACCAAACCAGCAGCACCCATCAGAACTAGATCAAACCAAACCTAGGAACAACCAGTTCCAATTAGACCAAGTTCAAACCAGTCAGAACCTAGTTGGAACGAGACCCAGCTCCAACCGGTTAGAAACGTCCCGGTTTGAACCGGTGAAAATAGAGTTTCCAACCAGTCATAGACCACAACTAGAACCATATCCAGATCAAACCAATCGTAACCCGGTTTGAACAAGTCGAATTAAAAACTAGACCTAGTTGCAACAGTTCCAACCAGATCTTGAACCAGATTAGAACTCGGTTTGCACACATGTCCATTTTGTTATGCATGTAACAAGTTAAATGACCAAGCAGACAACAAGAAGAAATTTTCAAAGACACATGTCACATACATACCATGCGTTTACAGTGCTTTGTGGCTCTTGATTGAACCACATCTACCATTGCTATCCGTGCTTTTCATGCCGATTTCATCGCAAAGAAATGTATTAATAGGGTTGCTTTCTCATGATCCAAAGTTAGCTTCCTAAAAAATAGTAAATTTTCCAATGAGATATGAATATACAATAGGCTACTAAGTTCCTAAAAAGACATTAAAGAATAAAGAATATACACATGCATACCAATACTTGTTGTGTCTGTGTGAATGGTCTAGATCCTCCTCGGTTTTGAGCAATATCTTCATTACTTGAGCGAGATGTTTGCCCCCTCTTACGTTTGACCTTGTACTCATCTGAGCACCAATAAGCACAAAGGAGGAGCCACACCTCATCATTCAACCACTCGAGCTTTCCTTGCTTGTATTGCTCATACTCGAGGTCAATATGGCACGCTACTGCATCTTTGATTTCTATGTGTTTTATTTCCCTGTAGTACTCCTTGACAGCATCCACACGGGCTTGATACATCATGTTCCTCACCCTTTTCTTCAAACAGGCTTCTAGAACACCGTCCGCATCTTGTTGATCTCCTGCTGCAACTTGGAACAAACGTTGCATGTGTACAAACCCATGAACATAGGTTTCACATTGCATAGATTTTAGAAATTTCAAGTTTTAGATGTTGCTCAGAAATTTCAGATTGAACATAGGTATCTTACCCAAAATTCGGAAACCACTTTTTCTCCCCTTGTCATTTCCGTAGCCTTAGGATTTTTATGAAAATAATCATCCCAATCCAGAGCTGGGCGCTTGAATTCAATTTTGATATATCGATTAGCACCACAAAAATCACATTTATCTTTGTCCTTGTTATCTTTGTAGAATAGCATGCAATTGTTATAGCAAACATCAATTTTAATATATTGCATACCAAGACCCTCTAATAATTTCCTAGATTGATAGAAGTCATTAGGTAACTTAGAGTCAGGAGGAAGGAGTTCATGTACTATGCCTAGTATATCATCATATTCTACGACAGGCATGTTGTACCGCGACTTCACAGCAAACAAGCGAGCTACAGCAGACAAGCGTGAGTGTGTGGTTCTATCATGCACCAACTCATCTGCACTAGCAACCATCCTATAGAAAGCTTTGGCATATGCTGATGGTTCAGCATCCAGTATAGGTGGATGGTGCCTAGCAAGCTCAACCAACATTTGATCCATCTGATCAACTTCATCAGTGCCCTCTCTATTTCCCACACCATCATATCCATCATGTGAAATCAGCCCCTCACCATGCTCAGTCCAAGTTTCATAGTCTTCCTTAAAACCATGCCTACACAAATGCATCTCTATAGTGTATCTTATATGCCTAAAGTAGTTCCGACATTGTGCACAAGGACACTTAATGGTATCATTTTCAGCTACACCAGGAATTGAAAATGCACTATTCAAGAATTCTGTGGTTCCATCAATCCATTCATTTGAGGGAGCTTTGCCACGTTGCCAACCATTATACATCCATATCCGGTTTGACATATCAACTAGTTCTGTTTCAAATATTAATAGAGTACTCATATTAATATATTAGATATCATAACAAAGGAAGCTCAATTATTTTTAGTGCAAGGACAAACATTCCAAATTCGACAAGTGAGCACACAAATAAAATGTAGAAGCCTACTGTGCTGGTGCTTGGCCTGGTGGAGACCCTAATGCAATTGAAGTAGCAACATCTGCTTTACCGACTGGTGTATATAACCAACCATTACATTGGATGGCCATTGCACATGCAGAAGCCTATGACTACATACATTCAGAAAGTGCGTTAAAAAACATACATTCAGAAAGGTATATAATATGTTACTTGAAATGCAATTTCTCATGAATTTCCACAATTCTGAGTTGAACTCTTTGGTGGTGTTTTACAGCAAAAGTAAAAGGAAGCCAATCGTTGGTGTCGCTCATCATGTATCGTTTACACGGCCCTATGGTCTATTTGATGTTGCTGCTGTCACACTGGCTAATTCATTGACCCTTTTCCCTTACATTGATAGCATATGTGATAAATTGGATTTTATTGGCATCAACTACTATGGGCAGGTAAATTAAATACTAGCTGCTTAGATAAATGATCTGAACATGTAAACAACAGGAGTTGATTACTCCATTTTCATGCAGGAGGTGATATCAGGCTCTGGTCTAAAGCTCGTGGACAATGATGAGTACAGTGAATCTGGTCGTGGTGTTTATCCTGATGGGCTGTTCCGTATCCTGATTCAGTTTAATGAACGATACAAGAGCTTGAATATACCTTTTATAATTACTGAAAATGGAGTTTCTGACGAGACTGATCTGATTCGGAAACCATATATTCTGGAGCACCTGTTAGCCATTTATGCTGCAATCATTATGGTCCGGTCTTAAATTAATTTGTAATGAAACATTCCTTACTGTCATGTATCTGTAACTTCCAGCACTGATAGACATTGTTTTGAAGGGTGTGCCTGTGCTTGGTTATCTATTCTGGACGATGTCAGATAATTGGGAATGGGCAGATGGTTATGGTCCCAAGTTTGGGCTTGTAGCTGTTGGTCGTGCTAACAACCTAGCACGTAAACCTAGGCCTTCATACTATTTATTCTCCAAGGTGATCCCTGATCTCAGCAAATTATTATACAGTATCCTGTGTACACATTGTCCGTAAAAGTATAAAACAAATTTGTAATGTTTGTGCATTTTGTTTCTTGGGTCCCTTGTTTTGCATAAATTGTGCAGACTTATGATAATTTAATTTCTCACTCTTTTTTTTATACATATGAGCATTTGGTGTTTCTCTGATGATCTTAACAAAATGCACTTGAACTTCAGGTTGTTAAACTGGGAAAATTACAAGACAGGACAGGCTGGGTGCTTGGAGGGAGCTGCAACAAGCAGCATTTCAGAAGAAAACACGCCCATTTTTCAGGGCAGTAGATAAACATGGTCGGATGTATGCAGGTATGTGCTGATTCTTCCCGAAACATTCTGTTATATTATTAAATTGACATTATTCATGTGTAATGGCTTGTTTCTCTTAAAACAACTTGATAAGTAGGATAAACAAAAACTATTGACATATTGTAAAATATGCCAATGGCTACTGCCTTCAGGCTTCTTGGAGTCGAGAGTGTCGCTCCATGTTAGTTTTTCTTATATTGAATTCATACCACAACTCCTTAAGTTGAGTTACATAATTTTTTTTGATACAGTTGAGTTACATAATTACCAAAGGGCATATAGAGAGACAAAAAACCTAACTGAAATAGAAATTTTAGTTGGTATAAACTGTGGTTGCTGTCTCCACCTAAGAAAAATGAGCCTTTTGTTCTTCAGGGGGTTTAGATCGGCCTATCCAGAGATCATTCATATTGCAGGATTGGCGATTTGGTCATTATGAAATGGAAGGCTTGCAGGATCCTTTCAATTAAACTTTATAAGATCCATTTTTCACCAATTTTATGCAAGAAGAAGATTCATTACATTGAGTATGAGGATATTTCTTATGCTATTTCTCCCCGATGCTTGTTACTCTAGTTGGTGAGTCGAGAGAATTTCTAATCTGATTTTGATTTTTCCTTTCACCATATATCATCTATCTAAAATTGCTTGCTCTTGTTTCTGTAGATAAGTAGCATGATTTGTCCTCTAGATAAAGTAAATAACAACATACAAACAAATAAATCCAGTTGAAGAAAGAAGTATACCTTTGAGTCTCAATCACATGTCCTGAACAATTCTTCACTATCTTGAAAGTAAACAGTACCTCCAATAGCAACCTTCAGTCCTTGCTTAGCCCAAAATCTCCACTGCAGTACATCGAAACCATGCTTTACTTCAGATACATATAGCCACACATATAGAAAGGAAGTATAATATATACATTTTCGGGGAGAAACAAGGAACCTGAAAACTTCGATTCAGATTTGACGGAGACAACACCGTGGCCAAATCTTGAGGGAAGCAGACTTCAACCCAAAATAGGGGCGGTGGAGATCGACGGAGAGACGAGGGCGTCACGCCGGACGGCGTCTTGTTGGCGGACGGGAGGGAGACCAGGCGCCACCGCTGGGATGTTCTGGCGGCCGGTGGCACGCCCCTAGGGCCACGCCCGATGGTCGTGCGGCGGGCCTAAGGCCACGCTCAAGGACCACCAGTTGAGGCTAGGGACCACGCACCCGGGCTACTCTGCCACGCACTGGCCGGTGGTTACTACTGGCCGTCGGTGGGGAGAGCGATCTAGGCGACATCGGACCTAGGGCGCGAAAAGCCCATGGAGTGGGTGCCTAAGCGGCGGCGAGTGGCGAATGTGCGATGGGGGGGTGGTCTTGTCGCGGCGGAAGCGGCGAGCGGCGGACTTGGAGCCGTGAGCGACGGGAGCGGCGGACTTGCGGAGTGCGGACTCTAGCGGCGCGTCTGGGATAGGGTTGGGGTGGCAGCCGCGGGAGGATTTACTTTTAGGTTGTTTTTGTTTTTTTTCACTCTTTTCTATTCTATACCGCGCGAAGGCTGGCGCCAATGACGAAAATAGGGCGCGACGAATCCATTCCTGTGCCTGTGTCATTTTTTCTGTGAGTTATAAAAACCCCACAGAATAATTGCTATTTTTCTGTGGGTATGCATTATTTTTCTGTGTGTATTGTCACGCACAGAAAAATAACTCAATTATTCTGTCGGTTTTTTGATATTTCTGTGGGTATTTTTTGATACCGACAGAAAAATAACAAATTTTCTGTGTGTTCTGAGAAAAACGCACAGAAAAAATAATCACCCATAAAAATATTCGAGTTTTCAGTAGTGACGAGATAGGGAACATGCATGTATTTGGATCTTTGCGTGGGTTGGATCGATGGGCTGCCTAAACCCTCTTGTCCTCCGTCCTGCTAATAGCAAGCAAATGGTGCATGGCGCATGCAGTCCATGTGCGTGCACACCCTTTATCGCCTGTGTCGACCTCGATCCGTAGATATCTTTCAGAGATGTCCGAGCTGTTCTTTTGTCATGGGATGCCTGTAGCCATGCGTTCGTCTCCACTCTCCCAGTGGCAAAATCGAGCGATTCACAGGTGTGACACGGACAAACTTTATTCATTGCTCGGATAACCGTGTGATGTCGCGTTGTGCAACTTGCTTGCCAATTGGACCGAGTCCGCGGTTTTTTAATTCTTTGCAAGCCAGCGAGCACCGACGGTTGCTTCTCTTCTTTTCTTTTTCTTGTATTTCTTTTCTTTTCTATTTCTTTTTTCCTCTTTCTTTTTATTTCCTTTTTCTTTGTCTTTTTCTATTTTATTTTTTGTTGTGTTCTATTATTCTTGTCATCTTTTATTCTTTTTTATTTTTCTTGTCTTTTCTTCTATTTCTTTTTTCTTTCCTTGGTGTTTTTTTATTTTTTTGGTGCTCTTTTATTATTCTTTTTGTTTCCTTTTTCTATTTTCATTTTTTATTATATGTTTTTCTTTTCTTTTTTCTTTCCATTCATTCATTTATTTTCCTTTTTTTTTTTTTATTTATAATTTTATGTTTCACTTTTTTTTATTTACAGACACACGAGATGTTCATATAGTATACATGTGATGTTCTATGCTATATTTTGTGATGTCCGCGAGTACAAATGTGATGTTCTACGATGTCCTTGTGATGTTCAGTATACATTGATGTTGTAGGATATATTTTGTGATGTTCGGTAGCTTTTTTTCTTCTTTTTATTTGACTCTAATTAATTACTTTACTAATTTTATTATTTTATTTTATATTTACATGATATTTGTGATGTTCACGTAGTATACATATGATGTTCTATGCTATACTAGTGATGTTCGTGTAGTGTTAATGCGATGTTCTACGATGTATTTGTGATGCTCGGTAGCATTTTTTCTTCTTTTTATTTGACTATAATTAATTACTTCACTAATTTTTTTATTTTTTCTATTTTTTACATTTCATGATATATGTGATGTCCATATAGTATATATATGATGTCGTATACTATTTTTTGTGATGTTCGTGTAGTGTTAATGTGATGTTCGACGATTATCTTTAAATACATGTTCATGCATGAGATAAATGTTCGTTAAAAATTTTATAGAAATATATCCATGTGGGGTCTTGTTTTGAAGAGTTTATTGCAAGGAACACGATGGTGCAATCGGATTTTAATTAGGATACTTAGCGAGCTATGACTTTTTTTTTACTTCAAACGAGATGGCATGGATGCTGACATCAGCAGCGTACGTTCTTCATCTACGTAGCTCTTCCGAGCGGCAGGTGCAACACGCCTGGGCTGCGGAAGGACGCGAGCACCGCTGGCCCAATAAGAAACTGAAATCAGCCCACTCCTGCGGCAGCGTGCACAACACAAAAATTAAATTGGGATGGTCGGCGGGCGGCGGCTGCCTGCCACCTGGGTCGGTGCCTAGGGGCTCCCGATTATGCTTCCACAGGAGTTTTTTTTAAATAATATCGGTTATATGTCCGTGTAGGGGCACGTGAGCTCAAATGGGGTCAATTGGGCCACGTAAAGATCTTTTTGACAAGACTTGAGCTTCTCTAAAAACAATTAAGCAAGGGAAAGCTATGTTTTTTTTTGCGACCGGGAAAAACTACTACGTTTTGATGATTTTGGTTTCTAGTAAAAAAAAATAGCTTCAGCTTCACCGTGTTTGGCTTTATTTTGGATTCAGAAGTCATTCTCATGTTTGCATGTTTAGTATGGCTTTGATCAAGCCCTAACAAAACTTAATCCTATATATGTTCATCAAAGCTCATCATCGTCGGTTTCACGAGTTGGCGGTGATATTTGGCGGGTGATGATGAGCTTCCTCACTGTCGGTTCAGAAACCGGCAGTGAAAACCAAATTAAAAAAACAAAAGGGTCCAACGATTGCTGCAGCCTGCACTGCACCTCACTCGCATATGGATCTAGGCCATCATCGTCACGCTCATTGGAATGCTACCGCCCTTGACTGGATCTAGACCTTCACCATTGTTCCCACTGCATCGTAGACACACCTCATCGCTGCTACACAAAACACTTGTGTCGCCCCAGAAGGGTATAGCCCTAGCTAGTTTGGTTTTGGTAATTGAGTATTAACTAACGTCGACTAATGCTTTAATTGGAGATGCTTAAGGTAGAGTCCACAAGATGTTGTCGAGCAAGGCAAGGAGCATGGTGGAGAGAGTTACAATGTTGTCCGGCACACGCATTTCAGAACGTTAGAACTCACTAGAGCCCTCCGGTGTGTGCACTACTTGGAGAGAGTTACAATGTTGTGGTGCTAAAAAAGGTAAATAGACGCTTGTATAAATGGATAATATTTTTTAATTTTTCAGGAGAATATATTATTTTAATTTAAAAGCAGGAAGGAGCATGTGGGCTGTGGATCAAATCAAAAGAGACCATATGGGACAGTCCAAAATTTGAGTGTTGGCAAGAAGGAAAACTAACTAGACGTGGTATAAACGAAGTCTCAACAGACCAACATATTTTGATAGATATTTTTATGTAGGTCATTTTGCATAGGCTCATATAAGGATAAGTTTAGGGTCTGTCTACGAAATAAGTGAAAGTTACCAAGACTCCACTTCTCCCAGTAGAAAATAGGGGGGCCCAACTCTAGTTCAGATACTACACATTTTCGCTTAACTATGATTTGATTTGGTAAACACGGAGAGGTTCAGCCAAGATGAACTACAGGAGGCTGCGTTAACATTTTCCGAGAAAACACACACTTCACTGTGACACGTGGGTCGGAACTGTGCTCATTTTCGAATTTGGGCTGGGAGCTGACGTGACTTGACAGCCCACAAGTGGTGCGCAGTCGAAGCATTCCCCACAGCAGCAGCTCAACCAACCACACTCCCGCCCCATTCTGCATCCTTTAGTCCCACCTCGCAAAACCAACGAAATGTAACGCAGCTTAAACGTTCTGTTCTCACTCC